ATCCAGCTCAGCCTGGGGAACCAACCACCAAACTTTTCCCAACAGTGGAGTGTGAGGGTCTCTAATCCTTATAATTTCATTTTCATTCCTTTTATCTTTTCCCTCCTCTTGAACTCATTTCTGCCCTGTGTCCCGTCTCATGTTTCCCAGCAGTGCCCTTCCCCTTTGGTTTCATTTGGTTGTGCTCTGATGAACACTTTTTCTTCTTCTTTGGGGATTCTTCAGCTTTTCCCACTTTCCCCGCTCATGTCTGGGATCTGCCAGTACAGCTGCGTGGTTCCTACTACGGCCTGGCCCAGCTCAACCCAAGGTCTTGGGGCCTTGCCCAGGTGAAAGGATCCACACACTCAGAAAACCTAAGAAAAGGAAGAACACTGGTTTGACATGGCATCATATTAACAAGATGATTTTTTAAAAATATGTTTTATTGATTTTTAGAGAAAGGGGAAGGGAGAGAGTATGTTACAGAGAAAACCGGAGAAGAGCCGAGCAACGTTTAGAGAGATGGAGTTACATTTATTATTATTACGCGCGGGCCCAGAGGAAAATGTCTCTCAAATTCTGGGCCAGATCGCACAGGAGGTTTCCTGTATTTATACCATTTTACCTTCTTTGTCTCCCAAATATGGGGTTCTGTTCCGGTCCCCTTTGCAAGTTCTTAAAGAGCCCCTATGTGCTGGCGCTTTCAGACCTCGACCAAAGGCTTGGCCTGATGCCAGCACTGATAACTTCGTCTGGAGAAGGTTTAATGGCCTCTCTGAAATGGGAGTAGTCTTATTTTCCTTATTATTTAAGCCAGCAAGCATTTACAGAAGCCAGAAATAGCAGGGTTAAAATTTCAAACAGCAGTTTTTATATAAGATGGATGCTTCAGGTAGAGAGATAGAAACATCAATGAGAGAGGACCTCATCCATCGATCGGCTGCCTCCTGTATGCCCCCGGTGCGGGGATTGAGCCTGTGACCCAGGCATGTGCCCTTGACCGGAATCGAACCTGGAACCCTTCAATCCACAGGCCGATGCTCTATCTACTGAACCAAACCACCTAGGGTCAGGACGATTTTTATATGAGAAGTCACGCAGGCCCTCTGGGCCAGAAGGACTGTCCACCGACTCTGAGATCCAGAAATGTGAAATCAGCCTGGCCTGTGTGGCCCAGTGGTTGAGCATCGACCTATGAACCAGGAGGTCATGGTTTGATTCCCCGTCAGGGCACATTCCTGGGTTGTGGGCTCGGGTTGCGGGCTTGATCCCCAGTGTGGGGCATGGAGGAGGCAGCTGATCAGTGATTTTCTCTCATCATTGATGTTTCTATTTTTCTCTCCCTCTCCCTTCCTCTCTGAAATCAATAAAAATATATTAAAACAACAAAAACACCCCTCCCCTTATTACACTAGTACCCAGGGTGGGTGGGGGGCCCCTGAGCCGCAGGGTTGGTATCCTAGGCTGCCCTGCACCTGGTTTCTGGCTTTCCTGGTCAGATAGGCCATGTTTCATGTATGCTGACCAGGACCCAAGGTCAGGAATGGAGTAAGCGGTGACCGCGGGCTCTGACCGCTCTGTGCTGCACTTGCCTTAGGCCGCCTGACCTCCCCAAAGCCTGAGGTCTATAAAGATGTGTTTTCAGGGCGGCACTGAGTCTGCCAGATGGGAAGATGCTCTAAGACCACAGCTGTCTGTCTGCAGCATACTGGTTTCTATTTATTCTGAGAGTTTGGGCTTGGACTGTCCTGCTGACTGACTGTTGCCTTTAGTGTCAAGCTTCAAACCACCCAGCTCCTGTCTTGCATGTCAGTCAGTGGCAATTTGTCTTCTCGGTTGTTCAGGCTATAAACCTCCGACTCATCTCCCTCCCTCTCATGTCCTATGTCCGAGCCATCAGCAAGTCCAGCCAGCTGTGCCTTCAGATCAGATCCATAATCTGGTCCTTTCCACCACCTCCACCACTGCCAACTGCCCAGGCCACCCTTCTCTGCCACCAGGTGCTTCTTGCAGCTGTACCCACTCTGCTCGACCAGCGATCTTGGCTCCATTGAGACCTCCAGGGCTCTGTCTGCTCAGAGTCAAAGCCAAAGCCCTCCCCAGCAAGGCCAGCCTGGGCAACCCAGGACCTTTGTGTCTGTGGCATGTCTGCCTAGTCCACTGTTCCCCAGAGTGGTCTCACACACTTCTCGGAGGCTGGCCTTGCCCCTCTTAAGTAAGATCTCAAAACGCTCACCAATCTTCATTTCCCTTTCCGGCTTGTCACCTAATGTACGGTAAATTCTTCCTCTTCCTTATTTCTTTGTGTATTGTCTTCCCTCACTGGAATGTAAGGCCACATGGTGGGCTGGGACATTTGTTTTTTATTAGCTTTTGTTAGCTGGCTGCTGTTTGCCTCCTGTGGAGATGAAGATAACAGGCAGCTCACAAACATCAGCAGCAGCTTCTTCTAGTCTAGAACTCTTGATTCTGAAGCTTTTATTCCTTAGCTGCATCAAAGATTGTAACTCACATTCTGATTTTAAATTTTTATTGTCTAACTAGAGGCCCGGTGCACGAATTCGTGCAGGGGAGGGGGTGTCGATCAGGGCCTGCTGGCTCGGGGGAGGGACCGCAGGAGGTTGGCCAGCAGGCCCCGATCTAGTTGTGTAGATGTGCTGAGGTAGTGGCACGCAAAGACCACAGACAGAGTGCCCTAAAATGGCCTGAACACCAGCTAATCTCTGAGGTGGAAATACAGCTCTACTTCACTGCCCGCACTTGGGCCGCCTCACTCTCCCCGGGGCAGAGTTGCTGACAGACAAGACAGGTTGTCTCTCCTACCTCAGCCACACATTTTTTCAGAGCTCTGCCCCCAAGCATGGTAGGTAGCTGACTTCGGCCAATGGTGGCACACTGCCATAGGAGCGCTAGCCAATCAGCAGTTGGGAGCCCGGAAAGGCATGGGGCCAAACTAGAAGTGGCTGATGGGGGCAGAAGGTCAAGCGGTGTGCATGCATGGTTCGGTGGCAGGGGTTAAGATGGTGGTGGTGCTTACTTTATGTCTTTGCAGTTAGGCTGCTGCCTTGCCCCTTCTGCCTCCTCCGAGCTGCTACTCTGTCTCAATCGGGGTTGCTCTCCTCCTACAGGCTTCCCAGACCCAGATTCTCCAGGGCCTGGAGCCTTAGCTGGGGGGAGGGATCGGCCAGTGGGAGGGGCCACGGGAGGTTGGCCAGCACAGGAGGTTGACTGTGGGAGCGCACCGACCACCAGGGGGCAGCTCCTGCATTGAGCATCTGCCCCCTGGTGGTCAGTGCGCGTCATAGTGACTGGTCAACCATCATTCCAGTCGTTTGGTTGTAACAGTTGCTTAGGCTTTTATATATATAGATGTTTGTTCAAAATCACCAATTAAAACATTTGAACATATTTATTTCTTTATTGGAAGGACTTCTATTAATAATTTGATTTATTTTTCAGAGATACAACTGTTTCTTATATACATTTATGTGGTTTATGTTAATGGAATTTGGTTACTTCATCTACAATTGCGCATTTGTGGGCATAGAGTTTTTTGTAGTGTTGCCTCTTATTTAATGTCTAAAATTATTGGCAATTACACAACTTTTTTTAAAAAATATATTTTATTGATTTTTTTACAGAGAGGAAGGGAGAGGGATAGAGAGTTAGAAACACTGTTGAGAGAGAGAGATATCGATTAGCTGCCTTCTGCACACCCCCCACTGGGGATGTGCCTGCAACCAAGGTACATGCCCTTGACCGGAATCGAACCTGGGACCCTTTAGTCCACAGGCTGATGCTCTATCCACTGAGCCAAACCAGTCAGGGCTACACAACTTCTTTTAAAAAATGTGTTAAAATATACAAAAATAGAATTTTCCATCTTTTACTTTTTATAAATATTTTTATTGTTGACTAGAGGCCCAGTGTACAAATTTGTGCGCCAGTGGGGTCCCTCAGTCTGTCCTGCGGTTGGGCTGAAACCGGCTCTCTGACATCCCCAGAGAGGTCCCGGATTGCAAGAGGGTGCAGGCCAGGCTGAAGGACCCCACCGGGGCCGGAGAGAGACTCAGGAGGTTGGCCAGCTGGGGAGGGGCTGCAGGAGAGCTCCAAGGCGTGTCTAGCCCATCTTGCTCAGGCCAGACCCCAGCAGCAAGCTAACCTACTGGTCGGAGCACCTGCCCCTTGGTGGTCAGTGCATGTCATAGCAACCGGTCAACTCTCTGCCCCCTAGTGGTCAGTGCACGTTATAACGAGCGGTTGAGCATCCTTAGCATATCATTAGCATATTATGCTTTGATTGGTGGAACAGACAACCAGACACTTAGCATATTAGGCTTTTATATAGGATTATGAAAGTTGTATTGGCCAAAGCTCTGCAGTTGCCATCCTCACTGTCAAACTTTCTGTAAGCAATTTGAAAAGGAAACACTGAAAGGGAGCTGCTACATTGGAAAGGAATGGATTTTCACCCCCATTCCTATTCAGGCTGTTACATTGCCCTCTGTGGGCCCAGGAGTCTATGCGCCATTCCCCGTTCTGCCCATTATGTTCTTCTCTTGGGCTGGGGCTGCCACCAGCTGGCCACACAGTCTCCTCTTCAGTTCCCAGTTGTCTCAGCCTTGGTGGGACACTTCTCCAGCTCCAGAGCCCTTCACTTCCCTTCCTCCTGGATATTATTCTCCCAGGCTGCTTCCAATTTATAGCCAAAGGTTGTATAATTTCAGAGACCAAGGTGCTTCTGGAACTCCGATCTCTTCAATGGATCTCCTGTTCTCCCTTCATGTAGGAGATACCACATTCTGACACTGATCTACAAGATGACATTTACTCATTGTTTGGCATTTTTCTCCCCCTCTTGACAGGTGGCTGGTAGCATGTTTAGAATCAGCAGGATCCGCTGTAAATTATGAGGCATGTGCTGACCGAGTGTGCTTCCACACAAAGCTCAGCAGGGCTCAGTCAGAAGGAGACCAGTGGACACGGAGCCACTGACTGTCTTTTCCATTTGTCCTCAGAGCCCCCCAAGATGAACCCAGTGGTGGAGCCGCTGTCCTGGATGCTGGGCACCTGGCTGTCAGACCCTCCGGGAGCTGGAACCTTCCCAACACTGCAGCCCTTCCAGTACCTGGAGGAGGTGCACATCTCCCACGTGGGCCAGCCCATGCTCAACTTCTCGTAAGTGCGCCTGAGTCTCCGGGAGAATGCCAGGTGGGAAGGGCATGTCCCAGAGAGGCTCCCTGCACTTGCAGCTGAAACATGTGGTGGGCAGAGACAGGACTTTCTGGCTCCTGTGTATGTGATGATGCTAGGCTGGCAAGATGTCAGGTGTGTTACCCCAAACACAAAATAAGTGCTCGTGCTTAACTAAACCCTTCACCTAATATTACTGAAAAGGAGAGAGCTTGACTTTCTTTCAGACTTACCCCTGAGCTGATTGAGGTCTCAAAGGAGCTGTTAATATTTTGCTTCTCAGGTTCTTATTAGACAACAAAGCAGAGTTCCTCCAGCTGTGTGCGTTTCACCCCAGCCCCAACCACAGGAGGCAGGTCGTAGTGTCAGGTGGCTAAATAGAAGGGAACCAAGGGAAGGTGGCTGAGAATATTTTTATTTTTAATTTCAGAGATAACACACAGTTTTTAAAGTTTAAGCAATGAAAAAATATAAAAAGTAAAAGTCTGCCCTTTCCCAATATCCGCTGTACATTTAATTATATATTAAGGATCTTATTAAATTAACTTGATTCTGTTTATGTCATGCCTAGAAACTTCAAAAGGATTTAGAAGACCTTGCTTTTAGAAATATTAACTCATACCTTATTGTATTATTCTTGACTGAATGGATGAGGGCAGAGTAATATTCTGTACATAACACCAAAGAGGAAATTCTGGATAACACAAAATAACGGGCAGTATAAAACAGTCTTGTTAAACAGTGGGCTACAACCCAAAGATAATTTTGTGACTACAGTACAAAGTATCTATTTTGGTGAATAGAATTGTGAGGGTGTTAGACTATGATCTAGAGCAGTGATGGCGAACCTTTTGAGCTCGGCGTGTCAGCATTTTGAAAAACCCTAACTTAACTCTGGTGCTGTGTCACATATAGAAATTTTTTGATATTTGCAACCATAGTAAAACAAAGACTTATATTTTTGATATTTATTTTATATATTTAAATGCCATTTAACAAAGAAAAATCAACCAAAAAAATGAGTTCATAGGTTTGCCATCACTGATCTAGAGTGTATTTCTCATTAGGGTTGTGGAGGGATGGCATGTGCTGTGGCCACCAGCACTGCCCTGTTCAGGGTTCGATTCCAATGGCAGCTCGCAGTGCTGGCAAAGTTCTGTTAGAGTCTAAGTGCAGAACTGTCAGCGCAGCTGTCTCTTCCATCACTGTGAACTTGCATCATGATGCAGGTTGATTGATAAGAAGTGGAGTCCTGACTCAGGGCCTGTTCTTTTCCCCACCGTGTAGATGAGTGGGTGTCCAAGGCAAGATGATAGCTCTGGGGAGGGCAGACCTGGTATAAGGGTGGGATTTGGTGCTGAGGCCTGAAGCATGTCAGGTGTGGGCTAAAAGGGCCTGGGAAAGGGTAACCACAATTATAAAGAACATGTTGGCTGTCCTTGAGGTGGTGCCAAGCACAGTGGAGTGTTTGTGTGGGGAGGTTTCAGGGGGTGCTTTCAGGCTAGAGGTCGAACCCCTAATGCACCTGGTGGCCACAACCCATGAATGTGGTTGCTCAAGTGTCTTTCCATGTGAGCGAGAAGTGTATTACCTTGTGCTCAGTGGGGGCCTTATAAAGTGGGGAGGGTGGCCGCCGAGCCTGCATTGAGGGCCCTGCATCCCTGCCCTCACCTATGCCCTGTCCTCACCCCCTGGTCCCCGTGCAGATTCAACGCTTTCCACCCGGACACGCGGAAGCCCATGCACAGAGAGTGCGGCTTCATCCGGCTACAACCCGACACCAACAAGGTGGCCTTCGTCAGCGCCCAGAACACAGGTACCTCTTGCCAGCCAGCCAGATGGCCCCTGGGTGAGGTAGCGTCTGCCTCTGTTCTTTCAGTCGCTCCAGTGTCCCTGCTCACAGACATTTTGTGGGAGTCAGTTGGGAGGGGGACACAGACCTAATCCTGTGGGTCCCTTTCAGGGCAGGAAGCATCAGGACAAGTGCAGTGGGGCCTGCAGGTGGGGAGTCAGCAGGTGGAGTCCTGTCTGCAGTCTCTGAGCTCCACAGGAGGTGGTAAAGAAGTGTTTCTGTGAGAACGGGCTGATTTTTTTTCCGCCTGAGTTCCTTCAATGACAGCACACTCCCCGGCTCCCGGGTGTTTCCTATGGGACATGCCCCTAGGGAGAGAGCTAGACCAGGGAGGCTCACTGTCCGTCTGAAAGCTCTTGTCTGGAAGTCTGCTTTGCCCCTAGAATGAGGTCATTCTAAAATAGCTTACCAGGTTCATCAATTAGAAATGACACAGAACCCAGCTGTTGACTTTTACCTGCTCACTGCCTCAGATGAGTCTCACTTCCTGGAAGCAGGTGGACAGTTAGGACCAGCCCAATCTGGAATGGAGCCCAGGACATTGGTGGACTGCAAGTCAGTGGGCAGCCAGAGGGATGTCCATTTCCCTGGCCACCTTTTCCTCCTCTCAGATCCTAGGGGACCTATTTGAGGGGGGTGGGGAAGGCGGGTGGAAGTCAGGGCACCCCTGGAGAGGTCAACCCTCTGTAGATACCTGCCCTGGCTGTACTAGTATGAGGAGTTGTGTTTCTCCCCTCTTGATATCAGGAGGTTCATTGCAGACAAGGGGCCTTGTGGCCTTGATGGCTGCAGAGTTCAGGTCTGTTGAATCTATGAATGCAAAGATGGACAGCCAAGAGCCCATGGCAGGCTGTCATGGACTGATGGCCCTCTCTTGCAGGCATTGTGGAGGTGGAGGAGGGCGAGGTGAACGGGCAGGAGCTGTGCATCGCATCCCACTCCATCGCCAGGATCTCCTTTGCCAAGGAGCCCCACGTGGAGCAGGTGAGCCTGTCATCCCTCTCAAACGTCACTTTGTGGTGAAGGCAGGATTGCACATTGTTCTGACTTCTCACTTTGTCTTGGGGACCTGTCTGTCTCCAGGGCACATCATTCTTCCTCACTTACATGTCCTGGCTGGTGGGCAGGGAGATTCTCAGGTTCCTTGTTTTTCTGTCACAAACATCCTTTTCCATTTGTGTTGTCCACTTTTGCAGGTATATCCACATCTGTTGGATAAATTTCTCCCAGTTGAATTGTTGGATCAAAGGATAGGTACATTTAAAATTTTGATAGATACAAGTAAATTCCTTTTATTAATGAATTCCTACCAGCATTGCATGAGTGCCTGGTTCCCTTCTCCCTTATCAACATGCTAATCTGATAAAGAAGAGATTGCATCTCATTCGTGTTTTAAATTTAACATATGAGTGAAAGGGAGGACTCCCCACACTCATTCACCATTGGTATTTCTTGTTCTGTGTACTTGATGTTTAAAGTCATTGCCTGTTTTTCTGTGGGCTTTCATTTTTTTTATTGATTTATGGGGGCTTTTTATATACTATGGATATTAATCTGTTGTCTGCATTTCCCCATTTGGTGGCTTGTGTGACTTTGGTTTATGATATGTTCTACCCACGGGTTGTAAGCTTTACTGTGGTTGCCTCTGGGGGTCTTTTCCTTTGTGGTGTGTGGATTTGGGTTCGTGCTCAGAAAATTGTTTTCTCCAAAATGATAAAATTCTTCTTCCATTTTTCTTGTACTCTTATAGCTTTCCTTCTTACACTCAGACCTTTAGTTTCTCTCAGATTTGTTTTTACAGGATGCAGTGTATAGTTCTGACTTTCCTCAGATGGATGAACGGTGACCCTACAGATTTGAAATGTCATGCCTATCACAAGCACATCCCCCATAAATAGGGGAAGGGGCCTGTTTCTTTCTTTTTGTCTTTTTAAATAGTAATTTAAAATCATCTAATAATTTAAAGTTACCACACTTTGTTATATTTTAATGTCTAGGGAAAGTTCTTGATTTTTAAAATTTTCTTGATTAGCTCTGGCCAGTGTGGCTCAGTTGATTGGAGTGACATCCCATGAAACCAAAAGGTCTTGGGTTTGATTCACATACCTAGGTGGCAGGTTTGATCCCCGGTTCAGGAACATGTAGGAGGGAACCAATAGATGTTTCTCTCTCCCTCTCTTTCTCTTCCTCTCTCAAAAAATCAACTTAAAAAAACAACACATCACCTGGCCTGTGTGGCTCAGTTGGTTGAGTGTTGACCCATGCAGCAGGAGGTCGCCGGTTCAATTCCCAATTAGGGCACATGCCTGGGTTTCGGGCTCAATCCCCAGTACAGGACATACAGGAGGCAGCCAATTGGTGTTTCTTATCTCATCAGTGTTTCTCTCTCCCTCTCCCTCTCCCTTCCTCTCTCTGAAGTCAATAAAAACATATTTTAAAAATACACATATCCTTAAGTGAGGGGTTTTTTTTTAATGCTAACTTTTCTTGGTTAATTCTTAAGCAGTTCCTCATTGAGATAACCTGTTCAATGAGCTTGTCCAGGTCCATAAAATATAAATCAAGATTGTGTGAATACACGAATTAAATGGGGGAGAACTGGAGTCTTTCCATGGGTAGTGCTACACAGCAGCGTGATGGTGTGCTGCAGTAATTTCAGGTCTAGTGTGGTGTGTTCAGTAGATATCAAAAATGTATTTCTTTATCACTTAAATCATATAGGTCTTGGCCATTTCGTGGTAGAGTGAAGCCTTAAGTGCCGTATAGTTTCTGTTGCTATGTGCATAGACTGTTGTCTCCATTTCATCTTCTAACTGTTTTTTGGTGGTTATAAGGGAACACGTGGTTTCTGTGTGTTTCTGTCCATCTGAGTCACATCTGTCAGTCTCTGACCACCGGGTCTGGGCATGGCACTGCCAGGGTCACGGGGGAACCTGTTGACCTCAGGCCTGACTCCCTGAGGTACTGCTGTGTCACAGCCCTGTTGGATGCTTGCTGGAGGCCGTGGCCGGGTCAAGAAGATCCTGTTTCTAGTGTGCTAAGAATTGTTTTCAAGAAAGGGTTTTGAGTTTCTTCAAATGCTCTTGCAGCCTCTTTGGGGAAGATTCTGTGTTTTTTCCACTTGAAGCTGTCAATGCAGTGAATTATATTAATAACTCTAACTGTTGAGTTATGTTTGAAGATCACTTCTACTAGTTATAATGAATTAAATAATTTTTTCAGATGTCCATTTTGGTATCAGTTATTCATAGAGCTCCTTAGCTGTTTCTGCCCCCTGGCAAGGGTGGCCCCCACAGGACTAAGTGGTGACCCCTTGGGAACATGTCTTAGCCAGGCACTGGGGAGCAGAGGGACCCAGACCTGGATGCTGCTTCTGCCTCCACTGTTCATCTCCAGGCCCTACCTCACTTCATTTGTAAATTCACGGCTCCTTATATCAAGATTTTCAGAGTTTGGAGAAGTGACACATATGTCCCCTTGGATTTTCTGTGTCTTCTCTTTTTCTTCTTGCCAGAGGCTTCCTATTTTATCAGGGTTTTGGTTATTTTCGCTAGAGAACTAACTTTGGGTTTTATTAATTAAACAAAAAGTGCTCTTCTGCAAAAGGAGGGAGTAGGCAGAGGTGAGGCCTGTGGGAGGGGGGACAAGAGGAGGGCTCCACTCTGCAAAGTGACCTGGCTGACCAGAGGCTGGTCTCACATGCCTGGTTCACCTTCTCCCCTGGGTTGGCCTTTCCCTGTGAGTTTACCTTTCCCCTTGGCTTGACCCTTACTATGTTCTCTTGGATTAAATATTCTTAGCATTCTGTTTTATTTCTTCTGTTAGTTTCTTAACTGTATCTTTTTTTTTAATTTTAATTTTTATTTTTTTGCTAAAAGTATTACAAAGGGTATTACATATGTGTCCTTTTTTCCCCCCCGCCCTTGACAATCCCCTGCCCTCCCTTACCCCCCAGTGTCTTATGTCCATTAGTTATGCTTATATGCATGCATACAAGTCCTTCGGTTGATCTCTTACCCCCCTCCCTCCTGCCCCCAACCCTCCCTGGCCTTCCCACTGCAGTTTGACAATCAGTTTGAGGCAGCTCTGCCTCTGTATCTATTATTGTTCAAAAGTTTGTAATGGTCTTTATTATCCATGAATGAGTGAACTGTATCTTTTTTTAATGGCTGCTTTTAGGCTATCTGCATCTTAACTTATAATCAGTGTTATACCATTGCATTCCCACTTCCCACCTGATTTTGGATAATCCTGTGCTCTTTGCAGCTGAACTTTCCCCTTTCCATTTCACGAGTCCTAACCTCACAGCTCTGTAACTCCATTTACTCTCTTGAGCTGCTGTCACCACACCTGGTCCATGTGGGGGATGGGCACACAAACACACTGCACTAGGAACCTTCATAGAATTGTTACTTTTGCTTTAGTCAGTTGACTTCCAAACAAATTATAATGAGGGGAAGTAATCTCTTATACTTATCCATTTATTTTCTTTCTGTGTTGCCCTTGCCTCTTTCCTGTCACTCTGAAATTCCAGTGGTACTATCTCCCTTCATCCTGAAGACCTGCATTAACAGTGTTTCTCATAGCACGAATCTGCTGGCAACAATGCTCTTGAGTTTATTTCACACCCAACTTTTTTTTCTTTTTCAATGTTTTTATATTGAGTTGAAATACATACAGAAAAAATTGATCATCTTAACCATTTTCAAGTGTCCACTTCAGTGATTTTTATAATTCACTTCGTTGTGCAGCCTTCACCACCATCCATCCCCATAGCTCTTGTATATTGGAAACACTATCTATGAAACCATAACTCCCCTTTCTCCCCTCCCCCAGCCCCTGGCGGCCACCATCTACTTTCTCTCTGTGATTTTAATGACTCTTAAGTACCTCATATAAGTAGAATCACATAATATTTGTCTTTTTATGACTGGCTTATTTCATCAGCATAATGTCCTCAAGGTTCATCCATGTTGTCGCACATGGCAGGATTCCCTTCCTTTTTATGGCTAATATTCCCTTGTGTGAATGGAACACATTTTGTTTAACCTTTCCTCCGTCCATGGACACTTGGATTGCTTCTGTGGGTGTGCAAATATCTCTGAGACCCTGATTTCAATTCTTTCAGTCTGTATTCAGGAGTGGAATTGCTGGGTCATGTGGTAACTCTGTGTTTAATTGTTTGAGGAACCATTATACTGTTTTCCACAGAAGCTGCACCATTTTCCATTCCCATCTCCTATGCACAGGGCTCCAGTTTCTCCACGTCCTCGTTAACACTTGATATTTTCTGGGGTTTTGATAGCAGCCATCTTGATGAGTGAGGAGGCATCACTGTGGTTTGATTTATGTTTCCCATGATCACTGCTGCTGAGCATCTTTTCATGGGCTTGTTAGCCATTCATGTATCTTTGCAGAAATGTCTATTCAAGTCCTTTGTCCATATTTGAACAGGGTTATTTGGGTTTTTTTGTTTGTTTCCTTGTTTTTTACAGTGAAATTCCAGCAATCTTTGTGATTGTTGGGAACTCTTCTTTTTTTAAAAAAATATGTTTTTAGAAAGAGAGGAAAGGGAGAGAGATATAGAAACATCAGTGAGCCCTAGCAAGTTTGGCTCAGTGGATAGAGCGTCGGCCTGCAGACTGAAGGATCCCGGGTTCGATTCTGGTCAAGGGCACATACCCGGGTTGTAGGTTCTATCCCCAGTAGGGGGTATGCAAGAAGCAACCGATCAATTATTCTCTCTCATCATCAGTGTTTCTCTCTCTCTCTCCCTCTCCCTTCTTCTCTGAAATCAATAAAAATATATTTTAAGAGAAGAAAAGAAACATCAATGATGAGAGAAAAACATTTATCAACCACTTCCCGCACGCCCCTACTGGGGGTCAAGCCCACGCTACCTCGACATAGGCCCTGGCCAGGAATCGGACCAGTGACCTCTTGGTTCATGGATCTATGCTCAACCACTGAGCCACATTGGCCAGGCCAGGATTTTTTGTTTTTGGACCAGAAGAGTTCTTAATGTATTCTGGATATTACCTCTAATATCAGGTATTTGACCGGCAAATATTTTCTTTCATTCTGTGGGCTGCCGTTTACTCTATCAATAGTGCCTTTTGATATATAAATTTTTTAAATATTCATGATGTCCCGTTTGTCTGTTTTTTCTGTTGTTGACTGTGTTTGGTGTTACATACAAGAAATCCTTGCCCAGTCCAGTGTCATGAAGCTTTTGCTCATGTTTTCTTTTAAGAGGTTTATAAATTTAGCTTTTATATTCAAGTCTCTGATCTATTTTGAGTTATTGTTATTGTTTTTGTATATACTATTAGATAAGGGTCCAGCTTCATTCTTTTGTGTGTGAATATCCAGTTCTCCCAGCACCATTAGTTGAAAAGAAAGTCTTTTCCACATTGAATGGTCTTGACAACCTGTTGAAAACCAATTAGGACAGCTAGGAATGTCTTAAAAATAAGGACCATCTCTGTTTAATTAAACAGCAAAGCCAGCCTGGGGTCTTGAACACAGAATTAGAGCTGAATTTGAATTGTTTTTTACCTCTTCCTCCCCATTACCTCCCACATTCCATGAGTCACAGAGAATTGCCCTTTCTTCCTCAGTGATAGCAGGCTACACCCACACTGCCCAGTCCCCGTGGCCACAACCTTTGATCTCTCCCCAGTGCAGTTTTTTAAGCACTGTGTTCATTACTCCACCCAGGAATCTTCAGAAATGCCCTTCTGCTTATATTGTGATGATAGCCACACTTTAAGCAAATTAACTGCTCGTCACTCATACCAGTTCTCACACTTCAATGTACCAGTGAATCTAGGGTGTTGATGTAAAAAAACCCTTGAAACCTGTAAAGAATTTTTGTGAGTTTATTTGAGCCAAACTGTCGACATATGCCGGGAAGCAGAACCTCAACGAATTGAGATAATGCTCTGGAGAATGGCGCGTTACATTTGTATTTATACATTGCAATCAAAGGAGGTACGTAGGTGGGTTACATGAAATTCATTGGTGATAGATTAAGGAGGTGGGATAAAGCAAAGCGGGGCGGGGCGGGTGGGGGGACCCCTGGGATTGGATAAAAAGTAAAATGATGGACACTTAGGTGGGTGCAGGAACAGTTAACATGAAAAGGAAGGAATTTGTGGTATCTGTCCTGGTGCCCAGCACATTTGGTTGTGTTCCAGGGGCTCCAGAAAAAGGGAAGTTACAAGTTACCCAGACATTTCAAGGGTATGTTATCATAGATGCAAAAAAGACAGCTAGACTCAATTAAGGTAAAGGTTGACCTTGTCAGTAAAGATACGGGCCTAGGACTGTAACTGCCCTCCGTAACTGCTTTTAGTTAGTTTAATTTCAGACCATCCTTTGTGGTTACTTTAGGTCTCTGAGTTTGCAAGACTGCCATGCAGGCCTCCCCTGAGCTTGTCAGGTCAGCATGTGGCTCCTTTCATCCACAAGGGGTTTTGTTGAAATGCAGGCTCTGATCCAGTGAGTCTGGGTGTGGCTTCCCCACCCCTCACCCCCAAAAAAGAGATGGGCTGTCTTCCTGAAGTGTCAGAGGCTCAGAGTTGCCTTTGTCTGAGAAGTAGAGCTCCCACTGTGGCGGCCTGTCCAGAATGTGGGCTTGCAGCAGCCTGCGCAAGCTCTGCTTTGTAGTCAGCAAGGCCAACAGTTGCTTCCAACCCCACCTTATTGAAATGAGGACCAGTCTGTGGCTCAGATGGACCCCTGACAGCCTCGGGACACCCAGAGTTATTGTTAGTGACCTCACTGGATTGATAGATGGAACCACGGGCACCAGAAGAGGTCTATTGAGCCTGAGCAATGCAGTGTACATCTGCCTCAACTTTAAATCTTTCCAAATAACTTTAGTTTGAAGAGGAAAATAGCACAAGAAAGTTCAAGGGGATACAAAGTCCCAAGGACCTGACAAGTGGCTTTTGGGGAGCCTGTGCAAGGCACTGCCATTGCCAGCTTTGGCACTGAGGCAGCCATGCGACAGCTGACTGTCATCCCTGAGATGGGGTGACAGTGCTCAGGAGGCCACGCTCTGCAAGTGTGCACAGCTGGGGGCTGGGGGGGAGGCATGGGGCAGCCCCTCACCTGCTTTTCCCCACACTGTCTCCTTCCTGGGACCCAGGGAGAGGTGACCTCAGTGTCTCAGCCACAGTGACTGCTCCCAGGCTGTCTCCCCATCTCTTGCTCACCTGCTTCTTGCTGCCAAGTTACTTTTAGTGGAGCAAGGTGGCTGCTATGGGGTGTCCACAGATTTTGGCACAAACAGACAGAGCTGAAGGCTGAGAGACAGGCTCACTGGGTCCCTGAATAGTGAGATCGGTGTGATTGTATGGGATGTGTCCAAAAGCCACTCCAGCAGTGCAGAGAGAGAACCGTGAAGTGGCAGGTAATGGAGCCACGTTGGGTCTCCCCTCTGCACTCCCTTCTCTCTGATTGGTCCTTGCAGCCTTGGTGACTTTCTGATTCCTTTAAATAGACTCTTTAAAATCTAGCTTTTTCTCTGCCAGAGGGTTGACCAATTACAATACAGTTGTCTGCAGCTCAAAGCAACACTCCTATTTCATGTGCTTCTGGAGCCCCCAGAATGTTCTGGAACAATAGAAAGGGTGACCGTCCGAAGTATCTCTCAACAGTTGTCGTGGTTCCTCACTCTGCAGACATCCCAGGCAGAGAAGGTTTTCTCACAGGTTGCTTGCTACAGGCTTCCTTTTTGGAAACTGCCACCATAGTTTGTTCCTAAGTGCTGCTGCTAAGTTTTCCAGGAACATGTGTGACATCAGTGTAAGCTGTAGAGTGAAGTGGGAAGGTCACCTTTTGCTTGATCAAGTGTATAATTTACTGACAGAAAAAGAAGATGGCTTCTAAATACCCTAAGATGGGAGGGACCAAGTCATGGTCTTCTGGGGACAGAAAAAGGCGAGGACACCTGGATCTTGGCAGGTGCTGTAGCTCTGTGGGCAGAGTCTGTCATCTGACTCAAAACTAAGGTGACTTGTCGTAGCCCCTGCAGGAACACTTGGCCTGTGGTGGGACCTCAAGCATTTGTTGTATCTTTGGAAGATAAAACTAAGATGTTTTGTATTTGTTTTGTTCTGCTCAGATTACCCGAAAATTCAGGCTGAATTCTGAAGGCAAACTTGAACAGACAGTCTCCATGGCAACCACTACCCAACCCATGACTCAGCATCTTCACATCACCTACAAGAAGGTGACCCCATGACCCAGAGCAGAACTTCATCCTGGCCGTGTGTGTCAGGATGTGACACTAGGCTTCTCACAGACGCCGCAGCAGCAAGTGTGGATGTGGCTGCAGCTCCCAGGGGGATCAAGGGTATTGCCCCGTGTTCCTGTAATGGCATAGATAAACCAAATAAAAGGCCTTTATTTTTATGGCTGAGCATTTTGATATTATGTGTGTGGACTGTCCAGCTCCTCATCTGCTGGTAACTGTTTTCTAGAGTCTTTTCCCTAAAAAAGACTGCATTTTTTACAAGATCTGAAATATGTATAAACCTTAAGTAGAGTGGTCAATCATAAGCTAAAGACAAAGACGGACAGAAAGAGTTGCTGTGATTTTTAATGAGCTAAAGGAGCCTGAGGAACCCATTTCCATAAGGACAAAGGGTGTTCCCAAGGCAAGAGGGTAGTTGTGAAATTAGTGTCATTATGTACGTCTTATTTTATTACTCTGTAATATAATATTACTTGGATTTCTTTCTTTGTTGACTATGAGTTTGCAGACATACACTGACCTGTGTACCTGTCACCCAGTTTTAACACCTGCCAGCTTTTCCATCCCAGTGATTTCACCTGTTCTTCCGCCTTCTTTTTGCTAGAGTATTTTTAAGCAAATTCCACACATAATGTCATTGATCCCTAAATGCTTCAATATGCATTTAAAAACAAAACCTTTTATTTTCTTAACACACCAGGGTATCAGAAACCACACCAGGAGCACAGACACATGTGGAAGGAGGTGCTCCAGCTGCAGAGAGATTAGCACCTGCAAGAGCAGCTGCATCCTACCCATCCCTCAGGGCTTGGGGACAAAAGACATTACCAGGTGGTGGTTTAAGGACAAAAGACATTATCAGGTGGCACACCTGGAAGCTCAGAGGAGGAACCAGGGCTGGCGCTGAGCCATCATATGGGAGAAGCATGGCCAGTGTGTAAGGAACTCGGCTGGTTCCCCAAGTGCCAGGACACAGGGAAGCCGGGCACTCCAAGTCAAACTCAGGTACAATTCATCCTGAGGCACAGCCCTCACCGGCCGTGAACCTGTGAAACCAGACAAGGAATGTGCCTCCAAAATAAGGTGTTGGGACAGTCATGGGCTGGACATTCCCATTCCAAAGGGGTGGGCAGGCAGTGACAGGTCCTGAGCAAAACCAAAACCTTAAGGCCTCAGAATAATCCTCTGTACTCATGTCTGCCTCTAGGCCCACTGGGGTAGAGGTCCCTCCTGGGCTGCAGTAATACACCAGTGGCTCTATCCACCGGGGGTCATCCTAATGGGGAGCTCTCTGCAGCGGCCTCACCTATGTAGGGACTGGCTCTCTGCCTGGGTCATGAGCCCCCACACCACTGCAACTTCCAAACTCTAGGGGGAAGTAACAGCCCCCATGGCTCACACATGCCACCAATGTGTGCGGCCTGTGCCTCCTAAAGGGCTGGCTCAAATACGTGGGGGAGCATTGTGCAGTGGCAATATCGTAGCCAATGAGGTATATCTGAGGTGTGATTATTGCTAATTGGAAAAAAAAAGTGGATAGCAGGCCCTTTCGCTCTGGGCCTGTAAGGGGAGGGCACTCCATGCTCTCTGAAATGCCTTCAGTCATTCTTCCTGGTCTTGGACTAGAGGCCCTGACTTCTGTGTAGGGGGCTGGCTAATTTCCCCAGGGTTGTAGAAAATCACCCCTAACTTCTTTGAGATGGCCAATTAATACTAATTTCCTTATCACATCTGGGCACACCAGTCATGTTTCCTCAGAGCAAGCTTTCTCATTATTTTCAATGTGGATAGGCTGAGAATTTTCCAGATTTTTAAGGTCTGCTTCCTTTTTAAAATATATATATCTTGTTGGTTTCAGAGAGGAAGGGAGAGGGAGAGAGAGATAGAAACATTAATGATGAGAGAGAATCATTGATCGGCTGCCTCCTGCACGCCCCACACTGGGGATGAAACCATTGACCTCCTGTTTCATAGGTCAACACTCAACCACTGAGCCACGCTGTCCAGGCAGTCTGCTTCCTTTTTGATGAACAACTCTGTAAGTTGTTTCTCTCTTCCTGCATTTTACTATAGTATTCAGGAGATATTAGGCGACTCCTTCAAAACTTCGACTTAGCTTAGAAATTTCCTGCCGAATAGCCAGTTTCATGACTCACACGTTCTACCATCCACAGAACTCGGCCACAGACGCAGTTCCCCCAAGCACTCTGCCACTTGATAGCAACCATCACCCTCCCTCCAGCTTCTAAGAACTTGACCCTCATTTCTGTATGAGATGTCATCAGAATGGCCTTTACCATCCGTATTTCTAAAACATTCTGTTGAGTGTTGAGTGGCTCAGATTTCTCTAAGAAGATGGAGGCTTTCTCTCCACTCCCCACTTTTCTGAGTCACTAGAATCACCCAAAACAGTCCATTCATGCAATGTAGACTTTTCCTAGCATAGGCCTCTGTCAATTGCCAGGAAGCAAAATCTCAATGAATTAAGATAATGCTCCAGAGAATGGCAGTTTTGCACCTTATTTTAATTTTTGTTATTATATTTTTTAATCCTCACCTGAGGATATTTTTTCCATTGATTTCCAGAGAGTTGGACAGAAGGGAGGAGAGGGGGGAGAGAGAGAGAAAGAGAAACATCGATGTGAGAGAGACATATCAATTGGTTGCCTCACACACGCCCCCTGAACGGGAATCCAGCCACCGAGCCAAACCAGCCAGGGCTGCACCTTATTTTATACATTACAATCAAAAGAGAAGGAGCAAGTGGGTTACATGAAATACATTGGTGATAGATTAGGGAGAGGAGAGAAAGCAAAGGGGAAACCTCCGGGATTGGATAAAAAGTAAAATGATAGACATACTTCTTTTGCATAGGTGGGTATAGAATAGTTAACAGTCAACAATTAACTCAATAACAATGAGGGTGGTCTCTGCAGAGTGGTGCCTGTGCTTTGAGGGGTCCGGAAAAAGGAAACTTGCTCTGACATTCCAACAATGTGTTATTGTAGATGAAAAAAGACAATAGGCTCAGTTAGGGTAAAGATTGACCTTTGTCAGGGAAGCTGCTGGCCTAGGACATGACTACCTGCCATAAACTGCTTTTAGTTTAAAAAGTTTTCATTTCAGACCAACCTTTGTGGTTACTCTAGATCTCTGAGTTTGCAAGGCCTCCACGCCAGGCCTTCCCTGAACTTACCAGGTGGGGCTTATAAACAACAGAAATTTATTTCTTACAGTCTGGAGGCTGGAAGCCCAAGGTCATGCATGGTACTGGGCCATTGGGTCCGATGAGGGCCCCTCCCTCGCAGCCACATCTCCGCTGTAACTTCACGGGCAGTGGGATGGGGGATCTCTCTGGGGTCTGTTGCAAGGGCACGGATTCCTCCTGAGGATGGAGCCATCATGTCTTAACCTCTTCCAAAAGCCCTACCTCCTCCTACCATCGCTGGGAGACTAGGATGTCAGCATGGATTTGGGGAAAACGAACATTCAGACCATAGCACCAGGGACCTTGAAGGCTGGTATCAGCTGTCTCCACTGCTGGAGAGAAGCCAAAAGATGCTGGGAGCATCAAGGAAGTCCCGCCCCTGCATCCCACATCCCACCTCCACATCCTGCCCTTGCATCCCACCTCAAACCCCACATGCTGCCCCTGCATCACACCCCACACCTGACCAAATCCTGCCCCAGCACCTGCCCCTCTGTCCCACACCCTGTATCTCACCCCTGCACTGAGCTGGAAGGGAGGGCAGCACTCGGAGCAGAGCTGAGAAATGAGAAGCAAATAACTGACCAATCATCTTACCCCCAACTCCTGCCACTGCTAGTTGGGAAGCTGGTCACTACGCCCCAAGGCATCCCCAAGCTGCAGTCTGGGTTCACTTGAGCTTCTTGTAGTGTCTGCCGTGTCCCTCTATCCCCTCTATTTCATGTAGTCTGGAAGCTGGATGGCGAGTTCTGGTTGGACACACTCCCTGCAGGGTGCCCAGTCCTCACAGTCAGCTGGTCTCACTTTGAGGATGGGGACGGCCTTTCACGTGAAAGGTTTGCCACCGAGGACATCGCCCAAAGCAGCCCCTTGATTAGAGTGGTGGCCCAGTTGTCATTACTTCTGCATTCGGGGCTGGGACTCCCTCAGAAGAACTTCCCCTGCTTCCACTAGGCTAAGTGTTGTTTCCCTGAAAATGTTCACACCAGAAAGCCAGCATAGAAGCATAACTCTTTCAAGTATTGACAAAAGAAATACTCAAACTTGTAAAAAGCCTTTAGTGAGAGTTTATTTGAGCCAGGACTTTGAGGACATGCCCAGAAGTAAGATCTCCACGGACTGAGACAGTGCTCCAGGGAAGGGTGCTTTTGCAGTTCTTTTAGGATCAAAAGAGATGGCAGAAAGGTCACAAGAAGTCCACTGGTGGCAGGGAAATCTCTAGGCTTGGCTAGAGAGGAAAGTAGAGATACACGCCTGCTTTACATTGCTGGGTGCAGGATGGTTCACACAATCACAGTGAGGAGAGACCTTGCAGCAATGAGATGAGTTTCCACACGGTCCTGCCCTGCCACTAGTGGGCCGGTTTTGAGGGTCTGGAAGTGAAAATTACTCTGACGTTCCAAAGACATGTTATGCCAGATGCACAAGAACAGCAGACAGGCTCCCTCAAGGTGAAGACAAGCCTCTCACAAGGAAGCTGTGGGATGTGACCTTCCACCAGGACCTGCCCAGTCAGGGGCTGATGTTCAGACCCTCCTGTGTGGAGGTCTGGACAGCCACCTCTTCATTCTCACCTTTAACTGTGAATTCTTAGAGTAAGAATGTGCTAACCCTTGGTGATGTCCGAGGATCGCGCTCTTTTCACACCCCCACACCACCCCTCAGTTCCTCCTGCTCCTGCTCGAGCCGGTACTTCTGTACATTTGATGGAATTCTAGTCCACTGCAGCTTTTTCTCTCTGACAGATGGGAGGTGCTCCAATGATCCCATAGTTGGCCTGACAGAGCCCCCCCCAGCCCCGATGACTCCGTGTTCCAGTACCACCACTGCCCCCCATATCTCCTGCCCCAGAGCCCATTCTTACTGGGGGTCGGGCATTGGAGAGGGTGGGACTCAGAGACCTCAGGCAGCCGCTCTGCTTCCAGGCCTGTTCCATGGGCAGAACTGAAAAATCATTTTATAATTGATTTATTTTCACTGAACTATGCGCGATGAAGGTGCTGCATGACCCTTCACCCTGAAATGCTTAGGCATGCGGCATACACATTTTTTAAGAAGGGAGAAAAAAAGTATGTGTCCACACTGTTTCCAATTCAAAATTTAAGATTTTAAATTTTTTTCCTTAAAATTTTTCATTTTACATCTTTTAAGATGAAAATCTTGGTTCTTCAAAACATTGAAATTATTTGCTTTATTATACAGGACACAATTATTTTGGTATAATAATATTCTTATTAACAATAAGATTACTGATTAAAGTTTGATATATTTTTTAAAATATATTTTATTGATTTTTTACAGAGAGGAGGGGAGAGGGATAGAGAGTTAGAAACATTGATGAGAGAGAAACATCAATCAGCTGCCTCCTGCACACCCCCTACTGGGGATGTGCCCGCAACCAAGGCACATGCGCCTGACTGGAATCGAACCTGGGACCCTTCAGTCCGCAGGCCAACGCTCCATCCACTGAGCCAAACTGGTCAGGGCAAAGTTTGATATTCTTGTTAGTTTTTATGCCTTCCTCATTAAAGATATAGTTAAAATATAATTGGAGCCCTGGCCAGTGAGGCTCAACCCATGCATGGAAAGGTCACTGGCTCAATTCCTAGTCAGGGCACATACCCAGGTTGCGGGTTCGGTCCCGGTCGGGGTGCATCCAGGAGGCAACTGATCTATGTTTCTCTCTCTTTCTCAAGTATATATAAATGGAATGAGCAACTTCTCTGGTTGCTTATGTCATCAACTTGATACACAAACTAATTTAACTTCTACAAATTGAGTGTTCTCTTAGGTTAGCTTTGTGTAAAACATCCTATATTACTTTATTGTCAAAATCAAAACTGTAAGTTTGCCCTAGTTGGTTTGACTCAGTGGATAGAGCATCAGCTCTCGGACTGAAGGGTCCCAGGTTCGATTCCAGGCAAGGGCACGTACCTTAGTTGCAGGCTTGATCCCCAGCCCCTTTTGGGGCACATGTGGGAGGCAACCAATCGATGTGTCTCTCTTACATCAATATTTCTATCTCTCCCCTTCTCTGCCACTCTCTCTAAAAATCAATGGAAAAATATCCTCCAGTGAAGATTAACCAAAAACAAACAAACGACAAAATGGTAAGCTAAGATACCTTTTGCCCCTCACAGAGCCCAGCTGTAGGGTGACCCTGAGAAGCTGTGTGCCAGTTTATCCAGCAGGTCCCCTCATGCTGGGCATTTACTTTGTTGTCTTTTATTGTTCCTGGATTTTAAATCTTATTTGGGAGTGTTTTGCCCACTCCTCAGTTCCAAAGAAATTCACTTTTTTTTTCTAGTACTTGTTTCATTTTTTATATTTAGCTCTTTGGTCCATTTGGAGTTTGACTGGTGCAGTGGGATGTACGGTCTGGTTTAGTGTTTTTCCCAGTGGCTCACTGTGAGTCGACAATCAGTGACAAACCCATCCTCCCTGCTGCCTGAGCTGCCGCCGCTCCCGGGCTTGTCCTCGGGCTGGGCCCGAGTCTAGATGTCCCGAGTCTCTGCCCGTCTGCATCTGGTCTGGTGCCTGGTAGAGACGGCCCAGTCCGTCCTCATTCCTCTTCTTTTTCAGGGTTTTTCTGGCTGATTTTGCTTTTTGGTTTCTCTCATATGAACTTTATAACTAGCTTGTTTAAATTTAGGAAAAAAACATTCTGGTATTTTTTTGGTAAGGATTACATTAAGTTTATAAACGTGGAGAACTGTCTCCTCGCGTGGGTTTCCTCTCCGGAAGCTGGTGTTTCTGTCTGCTCGTCTACTTGGGTGTCTTTAGGGTCCTGATTGTCCTCACAGAGGCTTCACACCTAGAACGTGATCCTTTGCTGCTGTTGGAAATGGGGCACCTCCCCCAGTGTCTTCAACCTGCATATGCATAGACCACTGATGTGTCACTTCACCCCTGTGCTCCTGAGTGCTCTCAGCGTCTGAAACATTACCTTCTTATGCTGGAAATGCCAGCACATTTGGTCCAAGTGAATGACAGAAGGCGGGGGCAGGCAGGGTGGCCTTGTGTAGCACTGGTCTGAGGCTGTCCTCTTCCTCTCCACCCCCCATCCCTTTCTCCTGCCTGCTCCCTTCCTTCTCTCCACCTGCCAGACCTCACACTGCAAGGCCACTGGGGAAGGGGTGCTGAGCAGAGGCTGAGGGGACAGTGCAGGGGCTAGGGGGCCGGGAGGGGCAACGGGGGCAGTGAGGAAAGCTGCGCCATCGGGACCCTTCTTCTTCCCGAGGCTGCACGGGAAGCAGGGCTAGACCTTAGCAGTTGTCTGGCTCAACCTGCCTTGTACAGAAAGGGAAACTGAGGCTGAGAAGCCACATTGCAGGCCTCCTGTGCCGTGTGCCTGTGGCTTGAGCGGGAGTCAGATGGGCTGCAGGAGACAGGCCCTGCTGGGGACAGACGGGAGCCAGGCTCAGGGCCATGGGGCAGGCTGCAGTGGGGAAAGGGCTGTGTGAGCCAAGCAAAGGGATGGGAATGGCAGGGACATATGGGGTTTGTGGGGAGTAGGGCGACTGGGCACCCTGCTCTTGTTCACCTGTGTGTGCGTGCTGGTGTGTGAGCTCCTGCTTGTGGCCCACAGGAGCAGAGGGCAGCCGATGAGGGAAGACGGCCTATCACGCAGGATTCACCTGCCTCCTGTCCGGTCCGGGCAGTCGCAGGGAGGATAGGCACACAGACGCAGGCAGGTCGCCTTCCACTGCTGTGACACTTTATTGGAATCGAACACACACCCCGTCCTCGTAGGTCAGGAGTTGGTGCATTCACAGATCAGGGGTGCCGGCCTGGAGCCCAATCCCGGTCCCTGCCACAGGTGGGCGCACTCTCCCACCAGGGATGGATTAAGCAACAGCACATGAGCCTTACGCTCTGTGGGGGTCGGTAAGATCCCACGGCTCCTCTAGCCTTGGCCAGGCCCAATGTCCTGACATGGTCGCCCTTCGTGGATGGGACCCTGGTGTCAAGTGAGAGTTTGGTGCTCCCAGCTGCCTTCCTTTGGGGCCGGGAGGTCACCCTGACCTTCTGGCTCCACAAGAGGCACATGGAGCAGGGCCACAGGCGGGCACTGAAGGCCAGCTCCAGGCCCAAGGGAGCCTGCGTTCCCACTTCCCGAGGGTCTGGGTGTACAGAGAAGGGGCTCGCGGGAGGAGGGGCTTTGCGGGAGGAGGGCAGTGCCTCGGCCCAGAGCCTCCTGGTTCCAGGGCCAGGTTCATCTTTCTGGCAACAGCACAAAGAAGGCAGCCTTCAGGAAGCGGCCGAAGCTGCAGAGTGCAGTCACAAGCCAATGGGACTGGAAGCCAGGGTTGCTGCTGACCACACACTTGAGGACGTCGGTCTGCAGGGAGGAAGGGACAGTTGAGAACAGAGTGGGGAGCGGAGGCCCCCGAGCCTTCCACCTGTGTCAGCCGAGCCGACAGGGAGCACTGAGCCATGAAGGGAAGGTCTGTGGTCTGGAGGGGACTGAAGGCTCCAGCAGGGACCAAACCCCTCCATGAGGATTCAGATGGTGAGAAGGGAAGGGAGCTCAGCTGGGAGAGGAGGCAGCTGGGCCCCATGCCAGGAAGCCACCATGTCCAGCCCCAGTGGGGCTTCAGTGGAGTGGGCAGGAGAGGACAGAGGCCTCAGAGTCCCTGTGCTGGGGGTGCCACAGCCACGGGAGTCACCTGGAGGCAATACCTCCCCACCCAATGCCCCCTTCAGATGAGACCACAGCCCTTGGCTGCAACCTCAACGGAGGGCTGAGCTCGACACTCCTGCCAGTGTGTCACACCTATTTTACAGAGAAAACAGATCTATGGGTGAGGGTGCCCCGCCCCATGCCCAGGGCCCAGCAGCCCCCAAGGTCTGGCTGGGCCAGGTGAGTAGTTAGGGGCATGGAGACAGTGTTGGAGATGACCAATGCCATCGCTCACTAGGCACTGGAGCCCCGTGGGGAGGGCAGGGCAGGGCAGTGCTGGGCCTTTCCCTCTCAGGCCTGAAGTCCCTCCCCAGGCTGCCTTCTGCAGTGCAGGGGCCAGGCAGCGGGTCTTTAGAGCTGGAGTTGGGGGTGGAGGGAGAGGTCAACACTGAGGTGGGGCAGCAGGCCAGTCCTGGACCCAGCAGCCCAACCCTTACTCATCCTCCCCCCTTTAGCACCACTCCCCTTCCCAGCACCCCTGCACCCCCAGACCCCACTCACCCATCCACCGCGCCTCCGCAGCCAGGTTGCCAGGGTCTTGCGCACAAATTCCCCGAGGCAATCGACGAGAGCATGAACCATGGCGGGCTGGGCCTGCCGCACACAGTCCACAGCCAGCCCCGCAGCCACCAAGTACAGGGACACCACCTTGCCCCACGTGATGCCTGCAGGGAGAAGATGCTGGTCAGCAGAAGGCCACCAAAACCCTGCTCCAGTCCAGCCCACAGGGTTCCATGATGGCTGGGGGTGAAACTCAGGGGGCTAGCCACTACCCACAGCGCCCCCTGAACAGGTGCCTGGCCATCAGCTGCTGCAGGTCAGTCCTGCCCACCCTTTGGGTAGTTCTTAGGCAGAGATTTCTTTGGACTCCACTGCCTAACTGTGCACTTGTGCCAGAGCCCCGGACGACCCTGCTCAGCCCCCATCTCCTGGAGGAGGCAATGGGACGGCAAAGTATTGTAGAGCTGAGAAGAACCACCCAGAGAAGAATGCTTGCACATTATATGGTATGAATTCCCTTAATATATAAACATATTTTATAAATTAATGAGAAGAAATAAGCACAGAACATGAACAGCTGATTCACAAAAGGAAAAAAACAGAAATAATGCACATTAGACATGAAAAATGCTCACTAACAACCCGAGGGTGCATTTCAATGGGATGCAGACTGTAGTCCACGAGATCAGAACTCAGATGGCAACATGAGCCCCAGGCAGCTGCAGCCTCGCAATGGACGCACAGCCACCTGCAGGCTGAGAGGACACGCGGGCAGAGATGAAGCCCTTCCGTCTACCTACACAGCAGCACAGCTATCGATACGAATCAGAAATCAGCTTGAGCAGATACTTGTTCACGAAGTTCACAGCAGCCTTATTCCCAATCACCAAAAGCTGGAAATGACAAATGCACTAGGGTCATCCAGACAATGGGTGTGACTCGGCCGTAAGGAGTGAGGCATGGACACTCACTGCAGCCTGGACACACCTCCGACGTCCACTCAGCAAGGGCAGTGACACCACGGCCACCCGAATGAGCCCATCTACACGATGTCCAGGAAGCAGGTCCGTGGTTACTGGGACAGGGGTGGGGGGAGGGACAGCTAATGAGCATGCGTATTCCTCCTGATGGTGAAAAACTCCGGGGTGGTGGTGCACAGTGTGAACCCACTACATACCACGGAATCATACACTTTAAAATGGCTAGCTGTGTTATATGAATTTCACCTCAATAAAAACTTGATGAATCAAATCATGTCACTCCCCTGCTTAAAAACCTCCTGACACTGTTTACTTCCCTCTGTCAAAACAGGCCCAAGTCTGAAATGCCAGAGCTGGCTCATCCCTCTCAGGCCACGGTTCCCCCACCACCAGGGCCTAATCAGGTCCCCCTCCTAGCGCCACTCAGGCCCTCACACTATGCTCCCCATTTACCAGATGCCACAGGGCACCGGGCCTGTTCTGCTCACAGCTGGGCTTTGGGCACCCCTAGGCTCAGCACTCGAGGGCTGGTGAAGGCTTGATGTGGGCGGTGGGGACGGAGCCCGCCGCCTGGCTACAGCCTGGAATCTGAGACCGTGACAGCAGGATCTGTGGTGCGGTCTGCAGAGAGGTGCCTGCTGCCCCGAGAGGACAGTGAGTCCAGGGACATCCTGTTTCCTTTGTGTTTTACCATTTATGGAGATGTAATATCACTACGCTAAACTCATCCCTCTAAAGTGAGATATCGTGTTTTAGTCCATCCACAAAGTTGTGCAGCCATTCCAGAACATTCTCATCACCCCAAAAAGCAACCTGCCCCCATGAGCAGTCACGCCCATCCACTGGCCCAGGCACTGTCCTGTGGACACGTCACCTATGGAATCACTGTGTGTCCCAGCGTGTCTGCCTCCTTTCACTCACCACGCTGTCCAGGCTCATCCAGGTTGCGGTGCATCCTTTTGTAGCCAAATAACATTCCATCCCGTGGATGGACCACACTCCACTTGTCTACCACTCCGGTGATGAACACTCGGGTCGCTGCGCCTTCCTGACTCTCAGGAATCTTGCTGCTCTGAACATCTGTGCGCCAGTTTCTGTGTGATGTGTTCTCATTTCTCCGGCTCTCATGGCACCTGCCTTACAGACTCTGGCACTCGTCCAAGCATCGGCCCTCTTCCCATTCCTGCCAGCAGCTTATGGGGCTTCCAACTCTTCCGATCCTCACCAACATATGTGCTACCTGATGCTCTTACCTGAGCCTCCCAGGTGCCAAAGGGTGTCCCTGGTGGTTTTGGTGTGCGTCTCCCTAATGACTGACAACGAATGATCTTTTCGTGGGCTTACCGGCCATTTGTACATCTTCCCTGGAAAAATGTCTGTTCAGATCCTGTGTTCATTTTTAAACTGGGTTGTCTTTTTAGTATTATTTCTAAGAGTTTTTACTTTCTGATTCTTCTCTGGTAAAATAATTTGCTCTTGTGATAAGGGAAAAAATGCAAACTCTTGCCAACTGTTAATCTGGGAGGAAAAAATTAGTTTTTCCACGGAAGTGAATTGAGAAGCCCAAAGTTGCCTCTCCCTTGGAGGGGGCTCGACCACTGCAGAGGCCACCATGGGAGCTGCCCACAGCACCGGCACCGCCCCCGCCCCAGCCCCGACCAGAGGCCTAGTGGAGAAAGAAGGGGAGCCCAGCCCGAGGGTCAGCCTGTGCAAGGCCTGGCGGCAGCTTGGCAAGAGCCAAAGGCAGAAAGGGACAAGGGCCAGCAACTGCCTGATGCTGGGCTCACCCTGTGGTGAAAGGGTCCAAGGACCCCGAGGGCTGGGATGGACGAGGGGTGACAAGGAGCCCACAGGCAACAAGCAGGAGGGCACCTCTCAGGCCTGTCCCCGCACTGGGCGAGGCTGGGCAGGCTAGGGTAGGATGCTCTGGCCCCTCTCACACACACAACCAACAGGGGCCAGGCCCCCGCCTCCCTGCTCAGTCCCAACCACTAGCAGGCCGGAGCTGCCTTCTCACAGATGAACCTTCCTTTTAAAGCCAGCCTTGGGCTCGTAAACCAGCTGCCTGACAGCCTGGAGACAGACACAGGCGGCCACCCACGCGCCGGCATCGGGCCAGGGATGTGGGAGTCCAGGAAGAGCCAAGGGCAGGCGTCAGCCAGGACACCCACCTCGCCCTCCTGCTTTCTCCATGGCCCCACCCACCTCACCCTCCACAAGGTTCCTGACAGGTCACAGTCCCTCCACCCCCAGGGCTTCCCAGGATCTGGGTCAGCACTGGGAGAACATTCTGGAGGAAGACAGCCCCAGTCCACCCAAGCACCCCCTCACGCCATCTTCACCATGGTCACTTCTGCCCGGGGCGGTCAGCACTGACCCACCCAGTGGTGGCGCTGGAGGCTGGACTCTGCAGCTGGCAGCCCCCGGTCCGGGCCAGTCCTGTGTCCCGTGTCTCGCTGCCACACTTGCCACAACTGAGAGAGGCCTACGACTCAGGCCCTGCTCTGTCCCTGGTCATCTGGCCGAGTGAAACCCAAGCCCCACAGGACGTGTGCAGGACTCCCTGGCCCCATCCAGCCCGGTCAGGACTTCAGGTCACTGCAGCCCCAGCTAACGTCCAACAAGAACCATGTGAGGCTCTGTGCCAGCTGCCTGGCAGGCCCCCCGTCTTTACCAAGAGAGCAGCACAGCCCCAGCCCCGGCCCCGGCCCTGGCCCCAGCCCTGACCCCAGGGCCACACTGGCATTGCTGGCTTCCTGGGCTGGATGCAGACGTACCTGCAGCAAAGATCTGGGCGGCCACAGCCAGGAAGGCGTCGGTCACCACGCTCTCGGAGTGCAGGGAGATGTTCAGCTGGCGCGCCACGTTGCGGTAGATGCTGGGCCGAATCAGCTCCAGCTCATCCCCTGCAGTCACACGGGGGTCAGAGGGCTCCACACCTGCCTGACCCCAGCCCCCTGTCACAAGGGCCTGGGACCAGCCCACTCCTCAGCCCCATTGCCACAGCTGGCTTGGAAACCCTTCCTGCACTGACTGGCCTATATCTGACCCCCACTCAGCCCCTGGGCAGAGGAAGACCAGGGAGGTGGGGTGGGCACTCTCAGAACCTGCTCTGTGGCCCACCCCTTCTGATGAGCCAGCTCCCCCTACTTCCCCCCCCCGCCCCCCCCAACCTAAGGCCAATCCGGCTGGGCTGGTGGGGTGGGAATCCCGGGAGGAGCATGGGCCGTGCCTGATGGGTGACTCATGGCCCACAGTGAGCTGCCCGGGCAGCAGGCAGACAGGGCAAGCAGCCAGATCCAACAAGGGCAGGGACTTCGACCCACACAGGTGGGCAGCCCTGGCCACTGCCTCAGAGGCCACTCTCACTCAGACCCCAGCGCCGCTTGGTGAACCTAGAAACTGAGCCATCATCCGGGGCCTCCAGCACTGCCCGAGCTCCAACTGTGCTTGTGCCAAGTGGGTGTGTGCATGGGCGGCCACACTGCGGAGGACAGGCCCTGTCACCAGCCCTGCCTGCCGCCTGCGCTCCCTGCGGCGCCCCTGGCAGTGGCGTGCCGGGAATTCCACAGACGCGCACCGGGTGTCTCTCAGCCCACCTCTCCAGCCAAAGCAAACAGGGAAACGCCGACTGGACAGTCCTGGCCGATAAGGACGCCAGAGTCATCCCTGGAGCCAGCTGCACACTATCTAATTAATTAAGATCTGGACCAAGCAGAACTGAGGCGGGGTGATGAGGGGGCATGGAAATTCCCAGGGCTGGCCTGGCTGTTCCCACAGAGACCTTGGGGGCTGCTGGGGAATTATCCCAAGAGACTGAGCATGGGAAGTGACCCAGCTTCTTCCTGTGTGCGCTGTCCCCGGAGCTGGGTGTTTGCTGAGGAGGAGCTGGGGGCAGGGAGGCAGCAACAGGCCCAGGGCAGGATGCAGGGAATGAGACATACACGCTCACTCTGGGGACCCAAGTCACCTCCCTCCAAGGCCCCCTCAGCCATCTGGCAGGGGCTGTGCCCCAGGGACTGGACATGGTCGGGCTGCACACTGGGAAAGGGCCTTGAAGGCCGAGTTTCTGAGAGGGCCAGTGCAATACCCAGGCTCAGGCCCAAAGGATGGGGCTCTCAGAGTGGAACAGAGGACTGAAGGGACAAAAATGAGCCCATCAGATCTGCAGAGGGCTTTTCAGACGAGCTTAAACAACAGGGACACCAGGCTTAGGGTAGGGGCAGCCCTACAAGGCCAGCGCCAGGTTGCAGAGCAAGCCAGGACAGACAGGACTTCTCCAAGCCCTGCCAGGGGTCCTCTAGAGTCTGGAAGGTGCCCCCCAGTGTCGTCCCCACAGCCCAGCTAGAAGAAACAGCAGTGGGCAGCTGACCTCACGGGAGTCCAGGCGCTCCAGACCCCTGACTGATCCCCAAACCCACTTGCTCTCCACACCCACGGCCCAGGTGGGACACCACCCTTCTGGAGCCCTGCACAGGCCCCCACTGATTCTGTGTCTCTCACACACACTCCTGGGAGGCCGGATACACATACAACCCTGCTCCCAGGGGCCACACAAAACAGGGACAAGCAAACACCAGTGTCAGCCTCTCCCCACACTTGGCGTGGAGAGGACTGGTCAGGGTCCATCTTTGCTGCCTCCTGCTCTCCAAGTGCCCACTCCCAGAAGTGAGAATGGCTGGAGGTCAGGACCTCAGTGCCCATGGTGAGGGGTCCAGACCCTGGAGAAGGTGGAGACAATTATTGGGTTGGGTGTGATCCCAGAAACAAATATGGGCCAGCCCCACGGTGGTGTCAGCTGTCCTGGGCACCCAGTTCTGCTGGGAGGGGGACCCTTGGTGGCCTCCAAATCAAGAGAAAAGAGCAGCAGACGGCAGGACTTCAGCCAGTAACTAAAAGGACCTATTTTCCAAAATAAACACCGGCATGTGGTCCGACCAAGGATATTTGTGCCCAGCTGAGTACAAGGGTCACTGGAAATGTAGCCACCAAAACGTTATTCTTCCTACAGCTTTCTATCCTTTATGGCCAGGCTGTCTGAAATCTGGGCTGAGCAGACAAGTTGGGGGAGGTCTGTAGAGTGCAGGGAGCCCCTGAGAGGGGTAAATTCAGGACTGTGAGAGAGGGGGAGCATCGCCTGGGTAGCCTGCCTCCAAGCATGGCTATTACAGAAGTGGAGGGTACTGGCCAGGTCACCCCGTGGGCGGGTCACTGTGGAGACAGCTGTACCCTAAGGTGCAGTGGTCCCAACCCAGCGGACCAGCTCAGAAGGCGCAGTCTGGGGACCCATCCCGCCAGGA